CCAAGAACAATGTCATAATTGTGAGCTACATAGTATTCTGCACAAACAAAAATATACTGATAGATCTCCAAAATCACATCAAAGTAAAATACTCCATATAAGGGAAGTATTGAGAACTCTTCAAAAACAAACTCCTCATTTGTACATGGCACAGACAGGTCAAGCATCCCTGTTTAAATGCAGGGGACCAGCAGTGTTTTGGATTTCAGGTTTTTGGGGGGAGATTTTAGAATACTTGCATATACATAATAAGATATATTGGGGATGAACCCCCCCAAGTCTAAAGACAAAATTCATTTGTATTTCATATATATCTTACTGCCTGAAGGTAAGTTTATACAACATTTTAAATAATATAGATGAAACAAAGTTTATATTACCTTAAACCCACAGAAAGCAAAGGTGTAGAATTTTCTACTGTGACATTCACATCAGTGCTCAAAATGTTTTGGATTTTTGGATTTCAGATTTTGGATTTTCAGAGTAGGGATGCCCAGCCTGTAGTAGGCGCTTTTAATGGTTTATTGAGTCAGTGAGTAAATTACTGCATCGAACTGGAGTACTGTTAATCAATGGCTGTTAGAATAATGTATGTATTCCCTAACTTCCCATTTCAATATTTTTTCTACTACACTTCGTAAATACATCCTCCCCTTAAGCAGTTCTATAGAATAGGTATAAATGCATCTACAATTACACAAGAGGACTCAATATACCACTAAGTATATACACATATACAATATAATGTAAAAAGTGTGACCTTGAATATATCCTAAACCTGACTCATCTGAAACATATGTATACAGATGAAACAATTTGGAATAGCTTTGATGAGTTAGTGTTCCATATTTTTCTTGAAAATTTTCCATAAGGGAAGCAGGAACTGCACTATATTGAAGGTGCGCCATACTCTGCCTGTTAAAACTATTTAGTCAGAACATCTCCTTGATGGAGTTGCTTATCTGTGAACATCCTGCTTCCTTATTCATTTCTCATAGATGGGTTTCTTATTTTGAAGGGGTGAGAAAGACAAAGTATCCCTCTGGGCTGAGACTGATCCAAACGGCTGAGAATGAAGACCGAGTCAAGAATTGTCTCTGCCAACAGCCTAGATTGGTGACCAAGGTTAGGGCTTAATCTATTCCAAGTATTTCTAACTTTGTTATATCATTTTTTATTTTCAGAGCCACACATCAATAAAAAAATATTTCAGCCGTCCTTGCATGCACACACACATTTCCAAATATCCCCAGAGAAGCAGTGTGTAGTAGTCTTCAGTTTACACACACACACACAAAAAATGAAACTTTACTTGAATTCTAACTTTAAAATTAGATTTGCAGTTTTAGAGTGCTAACATACTTTTAAGGTAGAATTGAACTTTCTGACACTAAAGTGAGTACAATTCTATATGTGTTGAAATGTGTTTCTACTATTTCTAATGAAATGATGGGTAGTAATAAACTATCCTATGATTGTGCAGCAGGCTTGAATGGCAGCCTCAGGTATCCCTAACTGGCTAAGAGTTACTAAATCAAATTAGGTAATGGAAGAAAATGTAAGCACAAAAGTAGAAAGAGGCTCCCCAAATTTTGTTTTTATTCAAATGATGCTACAAAACAAATTTCTCTATTTAGCCAAAGCATAGTTCTTAGGCATTTTTACTCTATAAGCCATTGGAATGGAATATATCACCCCTGGATTATTTATTAGACAACTGTGCTGTCCAAGAAGGTGGCCACTAGTCGCATGTGGCTGTTTAAATTAATTAAAATGACATGTGTACTAAAGTTCCTCAGCTGATTAGCCACATTTCAAGCTGTCAGTTGGCCCATATGTTCAGTGGTGCCATATTGACCAGTACAGATTTAGAACATTCTCTACAGTGTAGAAAGCACTGCTGGTAACTCACCAATGTAGCTGGTGCTCCTGAGAACACTCTCTAGTTGATGGTGACTTTTTACACAAATGGATTCAGGAGGTCTTTTTGGAATTGCATTTTAGTACATAGTGGACAATACCACTTAACTATCTTAAACAGTATATAACATTTTATTTTTATTTTTCTCATACCAAAATGATTTGCACAATTTCACAAGATCCTGTAATATCTAAAAGACTTTCTAATTGGTTGCTGTAGCTTGTCAAAATGTCTGCAGCTCATGCGGCAGTTCTCGAAACTTCTACAGATTTGGGATCCATTTAGAAAACGTAGGAGACAGTCATATTGAGCACTTAGTACTCCTGACACTAGATGTGCTGACAGGTGACAAGAAAAAGAAAATATTTGTAAAAAGTATTAGGATTTTCACAGGATACATGTTGTTCTAATATTTAGATATTTAATGAATATGACTTAATATTATTCTCATTTACATTTGTATGCTTTAGTTAATACTTATTAAAATTATGCTGTTTGTTAATGGGATCATTAGTGTACTCTAAGGTTGTTTTATTAATATGGCATATCCAAGATATAACAAAATTGTTTTGTTTTGTTGTAAACATGGAGCAGAGAGTGCTCCTGAGACCTTAGAGAAAGGGTTCTTTTTTCTCATTTTGTTCCTGTGTGAAGGGTTTTCAGAAATTTTTGTCAGACGCTTTTCCATCACTTGCCAGCTGTGTTCTGCATGGCTGAGTGTTACTCAGGCCCCAGTTGATAGGGAACCCCAGGAGAGCTTCAGAAGAAAAATGTCTGCAGCTTAGCAGTAATTCTCAGAGCAGCAGCATCTGCCTGCTCTAGGAGATTGTTAGAAATGCAGACTCTGGGGCCCACTCCAGACCCTCCAAATCCAAGTGTCTTCTAGAGCAGTGTTGGCAAACTTTGACCAGCACTGTAATCACCAGGGGGAGTGCTTGTTAAAATCCGGATCCCTCGGCCCCTCCCCCAGAGTTAAGGTGGGGTATGATTCTGATTTCTCTGACTCATCTAGAATGTTTTTTAATACTGAAAAGACATTCCACACTGATGCTGCAGCTGCAGGAACAGGGGCCTCCCTTTGAAAACCACTGGTCTAGGGGCAGCTGGGACTCATGTTTGGTTGCAAGTTGAAATCACCTGCTGAGCTTTCCAAAAACACCTGATAGATGGGTCTCACCTTCAGGGATACTGAATTAAATAGCAATGTTAAGCCATGAGTATGGAGATTCTTTTTTTTTTTTTTTTTAAAAAAAAAAAAAAAAAAGCTACCGTGGAGATTGTAATATACAGCTAGATTTGAGAAGCCCAGTCTATTTAACATACGTTTCATGCTGAGAGCTGCCCACTGGGAGAGAAGCAAAATTGCATCAAAGCTGCCCCTCAATGACTCTGGATGAAGCTGGACTATTTCTCTGGGGTTCAGAGTAAGCACACCCACATCTGCAGTGTTCATCCCCCATCCTTCACACATAAGGCCCTCATAGCCTTGAGACTAACTCTAGGAAACATTCCACAAATAATCCTGGTATCTCTACCCTGTTCTAGTTGCTGGAGACACGTCACTGAACAAACTCATGGAGCTTACATTTTACTTTCACTCTAAATGTTAAAATAATTGCTTTATGGGTTGTATGTGTGTTTGTGTGTATCTGAGAATATTTAAAATATATACACCATACATAAATACATATGCATACACATACATACACACTGCATAGAGAATGTCTCTCACCAAAGTGTTTTATCTACCTCCTATGCCAGGCTCCTCCTAATACAGGATTTTAATATTGCTCAATTAACTCCCTCAGCTCTGCACATGAACTTGACATCCCAGCTAAAATTTGGAATGGCTGTGTATGTGCAGATGTAAGTGCCCAGTCTATTATTTGCCACTTGCTATTCCAAAACGGGTGGAGAGGCATAATTGAAACTTTTAATGGCTAGCATCTGTTCAGTCTTCTCTTCCTCCCTTCCCTCCATCTCTCCCGAGTCCTCCTCCCCACTTACCTCCCACCCCTCATTTCAAAACCCTCCTTCCCAGCTTCTTTCCAACTAAGTGTACAATTCTACCCCATTTTCACACCGGTAGGCTCCCCAGGGAAAGCCTGGAAGATCTGAGACCTCCTGCCCAGAAGTGGTTGACAATGTAGTGTTTTCATTGGAATGCAAATTTGTCTCTGGACCAGATTCAGGGAAAGTGCTTTCCCCTCCAACTGTCTCTCCAGCTCCTCCCCAGCCCTTGTTGTCTTTTGTGTTCTTGTAAATAAATGAGAGGCGACTGGCTTTCAGTTTGAAGACACAGCTGCAGGGGGCTCTTAAAGGGAGCTAGAGAGAGAGAGAAAGATGCTGAAAGATTGGGAGCTCAGTGTTAAAATCTAGAAAAGGGAGGTTTTTTTTCGTGTTCTCATTTCCAATTGCTCTGATTCCTCTAGAATTTTTTTTTTTAAATGCTGAAAAGACCAAGCGAATTCATTCTGACTTAATATTTTTCCCTCCGTTTAACTTTTCTTTGTCCAAAAAGAAGAATCCACGCGGCAATAGCGGCAGAATAAACTGTAAGAAGTATGTTTATTCTTGATGTTCTCCAGATAAGTATGAAACTGGACTATTTTCGGAGGCAGAAAGTGTATCCAATGAAATGACCTGAGGCAAGGGTGGGAAGTGGGGACCGAAGAAGATTTACTGCTCGAATTTCTCATTAAAACTAACAGATCTTGATCGCGTCCAGGGAGATCATGATTACCCTGTCGGGGGCCTTTAAAAATCTGTACGTGACTAATGCGATGCTTCTGCTATTCCCGAAATAACTTCGACATGTAAGCGAACACAGGTTTCTCTTGTCAAACGTGACTTCCTTCCAGTAGTCAGCTGGCCTGTGCCAGAGTCGGGACCAGAAACCCGCCCCAGGAGAGGCCGGGTCACAGGTTCGCGTCCCGCCCCGAGCGCAGCTGGGCTCGCCAAGCTGCCGGGCGCCCGCGGTGTCCCGGGTGTCTCCCTGCGCTCGGGGCCGGGCTGGGCAGGGTGGGCCGGGTTCTTCTCCCTCGCTAAGTGCGCGTGTTCTCTCCTCTCCCGGGCACAGGGCACGACCAGCCGCGCCGGCCACCTGGCGGGGCCCGAGCCCGCGCCGCCGCCGCCGCCGCCGCCGCGGGAGCCGTTCGCGCCCAGCCTGGGCAGCGCCTTCCACCTGCCCGACGCGCCGCCCGCCTCCGCCGCGCTCTACTACTCCAGCTCCACGCTGCCCGCGCCACCGCGCGGGGGCTCCCCGCTGGCCGCGCCCCAGGGCGGCTCGCCCACCAAGCTGCAGCGCGGCGGCTCGGCCCCCGAGGGCGCCACCTACGCCGCGCCGCGCGGCTCCTCGCCCAAGCAGTCGCCCAGCCGCCTGGCCAAGTCCTACAGCACCAGCTCGCCCATCAACATCGTCGTGTCCTCGGCCGGCCTGTCCCCGATCCGCGTGACCTCGCCCCCCACCGTGCAGTCCACCATCTCCTCCTCGCCCATCCACCAGCTGAGCTCCACCATCGGCACGTACGCCACCCTGTCGCCCACCAAGCGCCTGGTCCACGCGTCCGAGCAGTACAGCAAGCACTCGCAGGAGCTGTATGCCACGGCCACCCTCCAGAGGCCGGGCAGCCTGGCAGGTAAAGGCTCGCTGCCACCTGGCGCGGCTCCCCCGGGCGCGTGGCGGGGGCGCGGGGCGCAGCCGGGCTCCAGCAGAAGTGAAGCCGGGCGCGCGGTCCGCCAGGTTTGAAGTAGTGGCAGGAGGTAGAGAACTCCAGGGCTTCCCTGGAACAAGTTCAGTGTCTTCCCTGCAGTTTGCCAGTGACTGCTCTTTGGGAGTAATGTGGTGTCTCAATCTCGAACACCTGCCTCACTCTCTCCTCTCCTCTCTTCTTTCTCTGCCCCTCTACCTGTTCTAAAGACTAAATCATGAAAGTAAGACACATTTAGGAAAACATCCCATAGGCCTGTTGATGGTATCTAGAAAAAAAGCCAAACAAGTAACAGTTGCAGTATGGACAGGGTCACCTGTAAGTTGCCTATGTTTTATTGTGGAAAAAGGAAGGGATTTTCCCAAATTAGACATACAGCTTGCATAGTTTGCAATAGTAGTGGGAAAATAACCAATAATGAATTGCCTTGAATTACGACTTTTGTTTTGGCTTGCATTTATTTAGCTTGCATCTCTGCTAAATTAGACAGTGGGAAAACTAAAGGACTCTCCCGTACCTGCCATTGGATGTACTTGTGTCCGAACACTTGGGACAAAGTCAGCAATGATGCAGTCCCTTTAATTTGTACCTGCTTTATTACAGGGAGGGAGGGGCTGGGCCGGGGGGAGAGAAACCTGCTTTCCTCTGCCAGTTTAGAGGAGGTGACATTTCTGTGGTCGTTATGCCCGTCAGCGACCAGGCTGAGCTGGCGCTTCTCTGCTGTTAGCACCATATGCTCAGCTTAAACAAGACACCATGATTGAAAGACTAATGTTTTGTCTTCTCAAACACCTGACAACTAACCCGGATTTATTGTGGATTTTTTTTCCCTTATAGAAGTATTTGGTAATTGTGTCACTCTAGTAGCAGATGCTACGCTCATATGTTTCCTTTCTTGACACAAATAGATGACTGTGAAGATAAACAGGATAAAAAAGGAACTTGTTGCATGCACGAGGCAGGTAGCCAAGGGCTTCTTTAATTCAGCACAGTAATTACCAGTGTGGACTGGCCTGGCCTAACAGGATGCAGGCTGCGGTGCCGCTGCCTACAAAATTATGCTAGCTAAGTTTACTGAAATGAAAATATTCTCACTCATAGCTTCTCTCTCAAATAGAATTTTTGAGGCAGACAATCATTAGTGCCAACCCAATGTGAGTACCAACATCTCTGTGCTGTAGGGACTCAGGAGTAGCGATCTGCTTGGAAGAGCAGGCGAGTAAACATGTACTGAAACTTCATGTGTATGATTTTGTAAAATAAGTTACCAGATCATGTCCAGAAGGGGGAGATGGGAGGAGTTCTTACCAGACTCCATGATGCCCTTCTTAGCCACACCCACCACTGCAGAGAAGAGGAAACTGACGCACTGGGAGTCCAGGTGGCCTTCTAGAGGCCATTTCATTTCTTACACGTACCTCATGAAAGAAATCAGGAGTCTTAGCTTCCAGTGCTTTCTCCCACAGGTGATGTGTGTAGACTTTTGGATGTTCTACTCTATCATTTCAGAAGAAATCGAGAGTGTGGCCGTGCAGCTGCAGGTACCTGTGGAGAGGTTAGGGGAGTGTGAATGGAGCAGAGTAGAGCCAACAGCTCCTTCTGTCATTGTGTCTAAGAAGGGGCTGTAAAAGTACTTTGTAAAAATAGCTTATATTGCTCTTGGGTTGCCCAGGGAAGGTACAAGGGACAAGCTTGATGCTTCTGAGAGATCAGGAGTATTGGAACTCCGAGACCCCTATGTCTGATTTTGTGTGATTGATACCATACGAGGCACTGTGACGTTGGGAGCTACTTGGTTTGCTAGTTGAAAGAGTACAGTTAGGTCAAGATGGCAAAACACCTTTTGGGATTTCAGGATTGTGATTTTGGAGATTTGTCACTGATGACTAAGAAGGGTGGATATAGGATAGGTAGTGACTTTCACTAATTCATATATATATATATATATATATTTAAAGGCAGAGTATCACTCTGTTGCCCAGGCTGGAGTGCAGTGGTGCGATCTCAGCTCACAGAAACCTCCACCTCCTGGGTTCAAGTGATTTTCCTGCCTCACCCTCTCAAGTAGCTAGAATTACGGGCACCCACACCTGGCTAATTTTTGTATGTTTTGTAGAGACTGGGTTTCACCATGTTGGCCAGGCTGGTCTCAAACTCCTGACCTCAAGTGATCTGCTCGCCTCAGCTGCCAAAGTGCTGGGATTACCGGCCTTAGCCACCGTGCCTGACCACCTTCTGTAATTACTTTTAAGCACCTTTTATGTACTGCCACTGACTTAGATCCCAGGAATAAAATACCAACCAAAATCACTGGCCTTGTTTCAAATGAGGAAGATAGAAAATCATCAAAATACTTTTGATAGTTGGCCAGAAAAGGCTCTAATTAGGAAGTGACTTTTTAATATATAATTTGCAACTTTTATTTTAGATTCGGGGGTACCTCTGTGGATTTGTGAGCTGGGTATATTGCATGGTGCTGAGGTTTGGGATACAGCTGATCCTGTCACCCAGGTACTTAGCATAGTACCCAATAGTTTGCTTTTAGATTCCAGTGGTGCCATTAGTTAGTACACAGTACACAGTACTTACACAGAAGGTAACTTTGAATCTGTCCTGAAGTAGGTGAGTGAGCTAGCCCAATGGCCATCTGGGCAGAAGGTATTCTAAGCAGAAGAAACAGCAAGTTCAAGGGCTTAGAAATGGGGGTATGTCTGATATGTTTGCTGAATAGCCAGGAGATCATGGGGGCTAATCAGAGAGAACAAGAGCAAACACGTGACTTGAGGTCAGCAATGTGGGAGCAGAAGGCCAGGTCAGAGAGACCTTAGACGTCTTTTGGAGAACTTGATGCTGGCTTTACTAAACCCATGGGCACCACTGAGGATTTGAGCAGAAGAGTAATGCATTCTCATGTAGTTTTTAACAGGGTCACTTGGGCTGCTATTTGGAGAATAGACTATCAAGATCAAAGGCAAAGCAAGAATGTCAGTTGAGAGGTGATTGCAGTAATTTAAGCAAGAGGTGATTATCATTCGGGTCAAGATGGAAGCATTGGAGGTTACGGAAGACAATGTAATAGAGTTCTGGATGTGTATATAAGGTATAGCCACTGAGATTTTCTCATGCACTGATGATGATGGTAAGAGAAAGAGAACTCAAGATACCACCCACCCAACAGCCAGAAGAATGGAGTCGACATCGATTGAGATGGAGTGCGCTGCAGGGGCACCGGGTGGTCTGGGAATAGTTCTGGTAAATGCTAAGATCTTTGTTTGGCATCGGTGATATCTGTCAGAATCAAAGGGCACATGGACAAGTTGGATATATGGAGGTTAGAGTTTTTTCAAGTTTTTCTTGTTTTGCAAGAAAACATTTCCAGGAACTAGAAGTTGTGTCTGAGGGTTTCAGGTCATTGATTATAGTGGGCACTTGGTAAGGAAACACACATTCACAGTTTGCACTTCCTGATGGCCAAGCCTTAGAAAGTCTGACCAGAAATTTTGGAGTTCTGACTCTCTGGGAAAACACCACAATTCAGATTCAACCTAAAGACTGTAACTTCTCACATGTTAAGTCATCACAACCCAAAGATCCCTGGGTAGTTGTTAAAATTTCTTTTAGTAAAAAAAAACAGTTGTATCTGCTTTTATCATATAGAGCTACTTGAGTGGAAACCCAGCTCTGCCTTGGTGGAGCTCCCTAAGGCTGGGGGACTCATGGTTCTCCAGCTTGAAATTATTCCCTGATAAAAGGGGTCATGATTGTATCTATTCATGTACTTTTGCACATAAATAAGGTAACATAGGTAAAGTACTAGCATGCTTTCTGGCTTGCCAGAAGTTAAGGCATATCATGTGTTAATACCTGCCCTAGTACCTTAAGTGTGCAAGGAAGAGGTCATCCACCTTTGCTTCAGACACAGAGCAGGTTTATTGAATCCCAAAACATGTCATTGTCTGTGTTGGGCACATGCAGATGAGTGAGGCGTAACCCCTGGTTTCCAGAGACCTGGTTTTGGAACAAACACAGAAATGGGCAGTTTTCAAGCCAGTGCAGACTGAGACAGAAGCTAGTTACTATGAGAGCAACCTAGCGGAGCATCTTGCAGTGGGGTTCAGTGTGCACCCGGCATGCTTCCTTGATGAGGTGGTCCCAGAGCAAAGCTATAAAGGAGGAAGTAGAAAGAAACGGTAGCCGGAACAAAGTCAGAGTTGAGAAGGTGTGTGGGGGGTGCGGGGAGGCTGGGGAAGACAACTGGCCGCTCAGTTAGAAGGTCTGACTGGAAATTTCAGGGCTCTGAATCTCTGGGAAAACACGAAGAGTCAGAGTTTCTCGAGCAAAGACAGAGTGGTAGGGGGTGGTGAGAAATGATGACGCAGAGGGAGATAAGGCTGTTGCATTAAATTTCCAAGGTAATTGACTTAGAAATTTATCTTTCCAGCAGACAATTGACATGGTCGTGTTTGGTTGGTAGAAACTTTCTTCTGGGAAGTGTGTGGAGGCTGAAGTTACAAAGAAAAAAATGGACAGGGAATCACATTGGAAGCCACTGAAAGAGTCCTTCACTGCTTCTAAAAACTCCCGTTAGTTTTGAATGGGACAATACAAAAGTTATCATTTACAAATGGTTGAGAAAAAAGGCTAGATCAGTGATGTAACCTACTTTTTTATATTTTTTCCTGACCCAAAGTTTGCTTAATTTAATTTTTTTATAAATTAAGAGTTAAATATATTTTAATAAATTTCGTGTCTCCAGCAACTTAATGAGGCAGGCATGATTTTTACCCCCATTCTGCAGGTTTGAAAACTGAGGCTTATGGATGATAACATCCTTGCCCAAAGTTACCTGTCTAGAAATGACAGGGATGTGATTCGAACATAGGTCATTTTCACTCCAGAATCTCTGTAGCCTTAAATGTAAGTGATAC